TAGCATAGCAAAAAAAGATTAAATGGTTCGCTACTTACACTCAAAAAGCGTGAAATGTTAAGTTGACGATAGAACTAGAAAAGAATAAACATTCACCTTTTGGATATTCTGGTTACTATAGAAAATCGCAAGCAGGGCAGAGACGTTCACAGCAAACAAGCATTTGCTGCGAGAAAAATAGAGGCCCCACTATCTACATATGCTAGTTATTTTCTCAAATTTTTTTCCCAAACGCAGATGTTTTCTGAGTATGGTACGTCTGCAAGATATAATCTATTGAAAGTAATATATTAGAGAATAGGTTAAATGAATATAATGTGTAAATTTAACTAACAACTACTTGCGCTTGATTGAGGAAATAAAGGAGAGATGGTGTTAAGCCGATGACCAAAAGAGAGTGAGTCCATTTGCCAGCTTAGTGATAATTATAACCACATTCACGTTTATTCAGGTCTATTAAACTCATCAACCCAGCTAGAGGAGATTAAGCAATCCCAGTCACGCTTTGTTTTGGGTCATAAAACCTCACTGACTTGGCAGAACTGGGGCCTAAAGTTAGGCTCTTTTCTAATTACTGTGAGTTTAAGCAAGGATTCTATGCTCTGACTTACACGCGTATTGATGTTAATACATGCACAGTGGCACACATTCAGTCTAGGTATTATGATTAATATGAAAGAGAAGTGATCAAATCATTTTAAATCCCACTAGATCCATATATGAATACCTATTTGAGTATATATAGTATGCAGGATAGGACAGGATAGTCTTCTTGACTTAGTATAAACTTGAAGCTTTTGCAAGAATGAGTTCCGGCTCTGATCATGTTCGTGATATGGTGGACGAAGACCAGGCACGTTTATAATCCTAAACAATGGAGCATGTTTAGTTGATTGCGTCAACCTAAAAGCCGCATTAAATACAAACGACTGTGTGACAGGGGAAAACAGTCACCGTCTTTCAGTAAGGTCGACCTATGAATTTCTTTATCTTATACCTATTTCAGATAAGTTTCCTCCATAATACAAAAATAATAATAGTTTACCCCTTTATATCAGATATTTGAACCTGGGTTTCTTTTGAGAGATGTGAAAACCTTTCCATAAGGTTTTGAAAAGCTTGGTTTGGGAAGTTCTCAGATAATTTCAGGAAATCTGTAAAAAAATTTAAAGATTAGTAGAATAGCAATAGGGGGATTCAGGATAAAAGTGATAAAGGAGAATAGCTAGTAGAATTGAGTACGACAATTACATACCACAGTTGTGCCTTTATATAAATTTACTAAGCTGTCTATAAATGGCAACTTGAATAACTATTTATAAAACATTTTCATGAATTAAAAAAGCAGTAATCATTAATTATGAGTCTAATTATTTTCAATTTATTAAAATACTATATACAGATAAATGCATTGATAGAGAAAAGGAGTGAAGCACACAATAAGCCACGTAGAGCATGAAAATTCTGGCCTAATCAGCCAGCATAAAACTCAATGTGATATCCAAATACGGTTATTCTAATAGATTAAAAATAATCTTGCTGATCAAAGGATTGCTCTTGAAGTTGCTAGCAAAGGGTGCTCCCAAACAACTATGGACACCTACATGCTCACCCAATATAAATATAATTTATCAAGCAAGATGTAAGGAGTGAGGATGGATATAGGGTACAAAATAAATATTAGGGACTGAAAATAAAGCAATATAATGATCGCTTTAACAGCATGACATAAAAAGAAAAAGAAAGAAAATTAAGTGACGAAACACCGATACAATTGAGCGTGTATGTTCGAGATCAAGGCTATAATAAATCAAATGGAAAAAGTAACCTGTAGATAAAGATATGGAGCAGATATATGTAAGACTAGAATAATGGTATAGACATAAACACTAGCATATGCATAGAAGACACGGGCCATAAATTAGAAATGAAAGATGAGTAGGAAGTATTCACTTTTAAGAGAAATTAGCACAGGTTAGGTTATTGGGCTAATGGACCTGAGTAATAAACGTCCAAGAAATAAAAGCTATCCACTCTGTGGATGTTAAGGGCTGCCATAGAGACAAATATAGTCTAAGAACTAAAAATATAAATTTAAAAC